AGAGAGAGAGAGACTGGCACAAACAGAAATTACATTTGGTTTTTAAGAAATATTGTAATTAGCAACATAGGGAGCATCTGGGGACACATTTTTTTCTCCTACTGCCATTGGTTGTTATCTCTCTGCTGCCATTTCCCTGCACTAGAGTCTGTCTAGTATTACTATTGTCTGAATTCTGTACATAATTTTTTTCACACTGTGTTCATATGACCGCCATTTTTTGTTTTGTTTTGTTTTGAGACAGAGTTTTGTTCTTGTTGCCCAGGCTGGAGTGCAGAGGCACAATCTCAGCTCACTGCAACCTCTGCCTCCCAGGTTCAAGCGATTCTCCTGCCTCAATCTTTCAAGTATCTGGGATTACAAGCACCCACCACCGCACCCGGCTAAATATTGTATTTTTAGTAGAGCTAGGGTTTCACCATGTTGGTCAGACTGGTCTCAAACCCCTGACCTCAGGTGTTCCACCCACCTCAGGCTCCCAGACCACCAATAATTTTGATGTTTCAAACACTAAGTGGCTTCTCTTTGTGTTTTTGAGAGACATAGAATCCACCTGTGGCCCTTCACTGTTCACATTCTTAAACTTCTCATTTCCCTTCCTCCTGCATCTCTCTGTAACTGAAGATTGCCTTCCTTTCTGTGAGGTTTTGGAAAGACTGACAATTGATAAAATGGCCTCAAAAGCTTGTAAGCTAAGCATATTAATTGCCAGGTGGTTGGAAGTTTGCTAAATTTTGAGAGCGTGGGGCTGATCGAGAAAGAGACCAGACTACAAGAGACAATAAAATACAAAAAGCTTTATTGGGTGGAGCTTGAATAGGGGTCTATGAGAAGGGCAGAAAAAGACATGTTAAAGACAGCAGCAAAAGGCCACTGCCAGAAGGGGAATGTGCAAGAGACCTAGTTGGGGAGGAGAGGAGTGGAAATTCGAGAGGGTGTTGATGTGCCTAGGTGACATAGCTCAGCAGCCAGGTAGGGAGTACCTGAAACAGAGAGCCTCAAAGTGTAGTAGCAATTTGGGCTTTTAAAAAATATATTTACAACTACAGGGTTCGTCTAACCTATGGTTGGCAAATACTGGGTGTAGTTTTTTGAAGTATGCAACATTGGTAGGCTATAAATGGCTAACAATTTGTTTATTATGGCTATCTTTGAAACAATTGTTTATGTGTAAGAAGTTGGGTTTGGTGCTGGCAGTCTTTAGGTTAATGTAATCTAAGCTACTGTGAAGAGGCAAACAGCATAGGGGTCATTTTAGGTTCATACACAGGCATCATCTCTGGTCCATTTATATAACAGGATATTCCCGTTAAAATAAAATGTTCACTATAGTATGATTTAGGGGTGGAAGGTGAAGATATTTGACATTTTCATTAATGCAAGAGACAAAAAAGTGTGTAGAGAGTAAAAACGAATTCTGAGTGCTGTCATTATGCAATGAGTTTTTGTTTTGTTTTGTTTTTGAGATGGAGTTTAGCTCTTGTTGCCCAATCTAGAGCACAACAAGATTGGGTCCTAGTAGAAACAGAGTACTTAAATTAGGTCCTAGTAGAACCAGAATACTTAAATATGTGATACAAAATGAGCATAAACTTGATCTGCTTTTTGTGAAATGGATGTTTGTTTATTCATGAAGCCATAATGCATGCATGGCCAGTAGCAACATATATATACACACTTAGATCTCTTTTGTATATCATGAGAATGCCCTCTCTGCATCACATTTCAGTCATGTGACAGGACGATCTGCTTTTTTCCCCAGGCACCTTAGTGTTTGCTCCATATATATATATACACACACACACACACACACACACACATATACACACATATATATATGTGTGTGTGTGTATGTGTATATATATATATAGTAGCAATATATATATTTGGATATATATATTATTCTATATAATATATATGTATATATAATACAACATATATAGTATACACACACACACACACACACACACACTATATATATATATATATTGCTACTGGCCATGCATGCATTATGGCTAAAGCTGGTCGAGAAATCCCCATATATATATATATATATATATATATATATATATATATGCTGACTAAAGCTGGTTGAGAAATCACAAGTTGCATCAGTAGGTGAATTCTCAGTGAATATATTCATGCTGCACTGGCAACTAAACCCTCATTTATGGTCACGTGGAAATTCTTACTGTACAGGGAATGAACTAGAAAAAATAATTCAAGACTAATATACAGATTTTTAAAATACTGATGTAAGCTGAAACACCACTGCTTCAGGGTAACCCTGATGGACAATGGGTGATATGGTTTGGCTGTGTCCCCACCCAAATCTCAACTTGAACTGTAGTTTTCATAATCCCCATGTGTTGTGAGAAGGACCCGGTGGGGGGTGATCGAACTGTGGGGGTGGTTACCCCATGCTCTTCTCTTGGTAGTGAGGGAGTTTTCATGATGGTTTTATGAGGCTTTTTCTCCACTCAGCTCTGCACTTCTCCTTGATGCGGCCATGTGAAGAAGGATATGTTTGCTTCTCCTCCATCATGGTTGCAACTTTCTTGAGGCCTCCCCAGCACTGCGGAACTGTGAGTCAATTAAAACTGTTTTATTTGTAAATTATCCAGTCGTGGATATGTCTTTATTAGTAGTATGAGAATGGACTAATACAATGGGTAAGGAAAACTTTTCTGACAAAAACCAATAATTTTCCACAGGAACTGCTTTTCCTGGAAGGGGAGATGGACAGTGAAATGAATCTATATTGACTAACAA